CTTTTCCCCCCGGTTAGTGGGGGGGAAACCGGGGGGGGCGGAAAAAATTTCCCACCCCGCTGTATTCCCAAAGGAAAAATCATGCGGGGGGACCTTTTTTGTTGGAAAAAAACCCGGGGGGGGGGGGGGGGGGGCTGGATTCCCCTGCCGCCAGAACGATAAACCACCAGAACGCCGTGCGAAACGCCGAGCAAACCGCCAAGTGTCGTGTGCACGCAAACAATACGCCAAAGTCTACAGGGTCTAACATACACTGAATCGCTTGAGGACCTAGTGCCGGATAGTATTTCCCGACTCGACTCAAGGACATGCTATAATAGGCCAAACATGAAACACACTGCAGACCTTTGGCGATCTTTCGGGTCTAAGACTCATTGCACTGGCCTTCTCAACAAGGCGTTTCGGCTAGACACGAGCGGTACCTTGCCGTAAGGTGCCTAAGTACCTTACCGTAAGGATGTAAAACGCTGACAACCCTCCGCTTGGCCGTACCCGACTTTTCCCGACAACGCCCCGACTCCACCTCGTCCAAATTTCCGAACTTCGTCGCAACTGCTCCAGCATGGTACTGCCATAGGTCCGCGATGGGCGCCCGTTCGGTGTAACGTGCTCCGACCCCACATGCGCCAACGACGCTTTCATGACAGCATCATCTCCAAAGCGATACAAACAAGAAACGTCGGCCGCATTTCCATGCAAGACAGCATCCCTGCAAACCTACCAAAACAAGGGCCTACACCGCTATCGTACCGCCCTGCATAGACAGGGCAACCCGGCCCAGGATAGACAACCAGCAGCTAGCAGTCGAGTCAGATAGCTGTTGAGCCAGGTAGTGGATTGAGTCAGTTGGAGTCACCTGTTGAACTCCTCTGGTTCGAGCCCGTTAGCCTTGACGATGCTCTCCGCCGCCACGGGAAAGCTTTGGCACTCCTTTCGGATCCGCGGCGACGCGATGCGGCCCATCTCAGGACGGCACAGCCCCGAAGGCAGGTCGTTGCTCCCCACCTCCTGCGACGGCGGTGCGTTGGTTGGAGAAACAGCAGTACCGGGAGAAACAGCAGCACCAACAGCAGTAGCAGCAGCAGCAGCAGCGGAAGCAGCGGAAGCAGCGGAAGCAGCGAAAGAAGCGGCACCAGCACCAGCACCAGCATCAGCGAAAGCAAAATCACCAGTACAAAGGTAACGGCAGAAGGTCACGAGCTGTGACAAGAGGAAGGCGCACGCCCCATGCACCGCCAGAAAGGAAGAAAGCCTTGGCTTTCCAATGTTTCGATTTCCCACTAACTAACTTCTCTGACGACTGCGCTACGCGTCAAAATGGCGGCATTCAAGGGCCAATCATACCACTTGTTACGCATAGCACGGTTCAAACGGTCCCAAAACCGTACCAGTAAAATCTGATCAGAATTCCAAACTACTCCAAACTTTTACTCCATTGAGCCAAATAGATTGGTGACACTGCTCGGTTAACAAACACCGAGGCGGAAAGGAGGAGAGCAGCGATACTGTACGACGGCACGACGTCTCACCTTCATCAGGCGCCTCCTCTGCCTGGACCTCAAAGCTTCGATCTCTCTGAGGCTCTTGGCGAACAGCATCTTCTTGTCGGGGGGAGGACCGGCCCTAGGCGTCTTCACCTCATTCATCCAATCAACAACCAAAAACATGAACCGCAGAGCACGACGTCATTCAAGAGCACCGCCGCCAAAATCACAGACTAACCAAACAACAGCGATGCCTGCAATAGCAGCGGCAGCTAAAGCCATGGCCACGAAAGAAGTGCCTCACACACAGCGCGAACCGAAACGAGCAAGCTCGCGACGCCATCATCATCATGATCATCATCACCTGCTGGGCTCTGTTGACAACCCTCCTCCGGTCGGCGGTGGCGGTGCGACGAGATACTCACTTAGGCGGGCGCACCCCCATCATCATCATCATCACCATCACCACCACCACCACCGACACGTAGAGGCCTGTGTTGATTGCCGTCTACAGTAGTGCTTACTTGCCACCGAACCGAAACGAGAAAGCTCACGACGCCATCATCATCATGATCATCATCACCTGCTGGCCTCTGTTGACGATCCGCCTCCGCTCGGCCTTGCTGCGAGGAGAAGTAGGAGCAGCAGCATCACCCTCGGCTCCGACCACTACGGGGTCCGGGAGCGGCCTAATCTTGGTGCCGCGGAGGTCGGCGTTGACGCGGTAGAGGTAGGCCTGGTGCTGCACGCGGCCCCGCAGGTCCTTGCGCTTGCCCAGGATGTGGCTCAGCTGATTGTAGCGGTTCGTGGTCAGCCCGTTCGACCGGATGATGTTGCCCGCCTTTGCGATGTTGTTCATACGTACCGAGCGACAAGTTTTTTTCCCCAAGGGCAAACACGGGCAGGGACGGGGGGGGTATTCATGCTTTGCATGCCTTAGTTTTTATTTTTTTACTACCCGGGGGGGGGGGGGGGGGGGGGGCGTTAAGTGGGGGGGGG